AAGACTGGTGCAAATCAGAGGAAGAAGAAGACTGATGAGGAGCCAAAAGAGGAACCCGTGCCAAAGAAGACTCGTGCGAGTCAGAGGAAGAAGAAGAATGATGAGAAGCCAAAGGAGGAACCACAGGGAGAGAAGAGTCGTACGAGACAGTCAGCCCAGGAGGAAAAGCCCAAGAGGGAGAGAAAAAGAAAGGCAGGGACTGAGGAGGCAAAGGAAGAAAAGCCTAAGCGCCAGAAGAAAGAGTCAGAGAGTAAAGATTCGGCAAAGCAGAAACGTGAGAAGCGGGCAGCCAGAGCTCGTCAACTTGTCGCAGAATTGCAAGCAACTCGCAAGAGAAAGGCAGCAGAAGAAAAGGCAGATGATGGGAAAGGAGAAGCTTGGGACGCATATGCCCAACAATGTGCTGAGTTGGACAAGCATCACTTGAGTTTGATGGCCAAAGAATCTGATCCAAAAAAAGAAACAAAGGCCGCTCCAAAGGGTGCTCTCTCTGTCAAGGAAGCTGCTGTCCTAGCGACCCAAAATGCCGCAGGCCAGAAGACACGTGGACAGGGCCGTGGAAAGGGCCGTGGCAAGGGACGTGGCAGAAGCAGTGGGAAGAACACTGAAACAAAGCCAGAAGAGGATTCGTTGGATTCTGATGAGGGCTTGGTCTCTGAGGATGAGAATGAGCTGCCTCCAAAGAAATTGAACTTTGATGAAGCAGCCTCAGACTCGGATGCCTCTACTTTGGTGCTTGGGCAGGAGAGGAAGAGCAAGGCACTGTGTTTCACCCTATCATGACATCAGTGTGTATCAGTGTCATGCGCCTTTGAGTTGGTTCTTCTTCAAAATCTACTAAGCACAGCGGGTCCATGACAAATCCCTGAGTCACAATCTGTTTGATTTCTGACTTCATCATTATAAGATGTTGCCAGTACTTTAAAAAAATGTGCGCCTTCGCTCTGCAAGGCGGCCAAGGCGGTAAAGAAGCCAGCACCTGAGAAGCCGAAGGTGGAGGCGAGAGCGACAGCATGGCAACAGTGAAGCCAAATGGATTCCATGAAATATGAACTACAGGTATTTCAATATCAACTTTCCATGCACTCAAGCGCAACTCCCAATTTCTACTGTAACTCCTGACTTGTCAGGGTCTTCAGGGGATCTATCATGAACACCTCAAGAACACCATCGCTGACCTCAAGAAGGAGCACCCAGATTGGTCAGGCAAGGAGTGTTTGAAACAAGCTCGAACTTTGTGGCTCGGCTGATGCCCAACTTGCTTCACTTATTTTCATGGCTGATACTGCAACATACTTCGTCACATGTCACCAAGTGCTGAGATCAGCTTTGAGGTGGCGGACTCATCCAGCACGTGTGAACAGCATGAAAAACATGAGCGCGTCGGAGTTGTCCCGCCGACGACTGAAGACCCACGTTTCAAATCCCCCGAATGCTGATGCGCCTGCTGAAAGCCAGGAAGCATCAGGATCATCAGGCGCCGATGCTCCTCAAGTGACAGATTAACTCCTGTCACTTCTGTGTAGGACCAAGTCTGCTCTGGGTTTATTCTAGTCTGCTGCAGTCTGGACTGGATCTTCGGCCCTGAGTGGCTTGCGTTGTCTACTTCAACCACCACTGTCCCCTGTGTATCACTGCTGATATGTGTGTACTCATCTCCACCCTTGTTCGTGAGACAGTCCATTGGAAGCAGCCTGGGCAATGTTTTTGGGAAGTAGACAAAGGGAAGAAGTCTGAGCACCTTGACTGAGTGTTCACTGGTTTTGCTTCACATTTGGTACCGACAACAATCTTGTGTCAATCTGAACTTACTGCTGCAGCTGTTTTTATTTGTCGTGTGCTCAACGAACATCCAATAGCGGTGTTTCTCAACACCAAGTAATCCATTTCTGATCATTGCGTAGAATCATTGCTGTATCACTGGTGTCAGGGAGTCCCTTGGCTCAGTGGCTTCTTTGGCAACACTGAGCTTTAGTGTGGACATAGTGGACTAACCAGTGCTGGCATGAAGGGGGTTGGAAAAATTGGTTTCAGCAATTGCTCTCTGCAACACAATGTGTTTCAGAATTGTTTCCAGGCAGCAGGGTTTGTTGAGTCTCAATTGAAAAGGAACCCGCATAAGAGCACTTGAAGCCCGAGCATCCTGCCTTGACAGGGGAATTGGATCGCGTGATGCAGTGCTCCTGGACTTCGGAGAGTGATCCAGTGATACTGGAGATCACTGAGCAGGAGTCTAAGAAGACTTCAGATGCTGAGAGGTGTTCTCTCAAAGACCTTATCGACGAACTGCATGAGACTGTGGGGGACTTTACCATAAATTGCCACAGCATGGAGAAACCATCTGCAGTGTCGAAGGGGAGTGCTGATCCAGCAGGTTGGTGGCTTAGGTCCAAAAGAACTTAGGTCCATCCCTCACACACCACAGGTTTCCGCAGCAAACCTAGGTGAGATTACATACATCATCAAGCCCAAGGCCCAAAAGATCTACTTTGGTTGGACACTGCCCTCGAATATTGGCTCTCTCAAGCACAGTTCGCTCGCTTCTGTGTTCTCGACATCAGTGCTTTGCTGTGCAATAGATATATATTAGATTATGATGATGATATAATATATTGTTACTGTTGTGTTATAATCATGCAATGCTTCCCACCCCAGTTCTTCTCCTCAGCCAAGGCAATCGAGGCATCGAAGACCATCACCCGAGCGTGGCGAGTCATGTTCGCGAAAGAGGCGAATGAGTCTTACTTGAACAGCTGGTGAAAGCTGGATTGTTGGTGTGTGTTCAATATTTTTCAATGCACCATTAATGCACCCTATCAAGAGTCAATGGTTCTAGCTCAGGAGTTGCGGCCCCGATTCTTGGATCAAAGGATTGCTGAGAATGGAATCGTTTGTAATGTAGTCATGATGGCAGTGCCCAATGTCCGAACAAAGGCAAGCCCCTTTATTTTCTCAAGAATGAGTTGTCCTTGGCCGATGGTGAATGCTTGAGATTGATTTGAGTGATGGCCACTGATTTGAGTAGAACAGCGGGAAGGCTGCCATTCACTAGAAGCTGAAAAATGCTTCTTTTTGAGTGATTAGGGTTGGCCCTTCCAACAAACGAAGCTCAAGCTATGAATGATAAAAGTGCTGCCATGGCAGAGAGAGAGAGTGGGTGGTGGTGGTTGGTATGAGATGTATGAGGGACAGGGACTCACCTGAGACACCTGAATGTCATGGTGAGACACCTGAATGTCATGAAATTGACTTTTGGATTGACATCTGATTCCAACCTCTCAATCCTACATGCAGGTGTGTTCTACCTGACCGCAGCCGTTTTTCAAACTCGTGATCGTTACCTGCAACCGTGCACCGCCTCCACACTTAGCTGTCAATGGAGCGCCACACCGACTATGATGAGCAGTCCGAAGTTCTACTTTTCTTCAATGAAGATCCGGAGGAAACACCTCCGCAAGTGCAGGATCCAACATCCCCGCTGCAGCCTCCACCCAATCCACTTTCCCCACCCTCACAACCCGCACCATCAGCCACCACAAACATCTCGGCAGACCAATCGTTTTGGGCCGAAGTATACACCCTCCAACCACCCCACGCCCTTATGGGCATTCTCACTGACCTTCACGTCCACAGATTCGTTCTTCACCAACACCTGGACAGCCTCAACGCCCTCACTGACACCCCTATCGGACATCCACCTCTAACTGATACACTCCCACCACCTGTCCAGCGGCTCATTGCCATTTACCACAACAACGTACAACGCATCCAGAGCCACACGCGCCTGGCTCTCAATGCCATTGACACCATGGCTCGGTTTCCCCCAGCAGCATATTTCCTGGATCCCAACCTAACCGCACAGACCTCCACATCAACACACACCGAGACAGACCATCCTCCCAGTTCCACTTCACCCCTCCGCTTCTACCCAATTCCCACCGCCACAACCCGAACTACTACTTTGCAGGACGTCGCCACTCAGACTCTTCCACCTTCAGAATCCATTCTGGCCAATCCACTTCCACCACTTCTCATGCACGAATCCCAACAGACCACTCCTCGAGCAACCCCCCGAACAGCCACCCACCACCGTCATGTCCAGACGGACATCCACGCCATCGTCCAGCTCCCTTCTTTTGCCGGCCTCCTCCCCACAACAGACAGCAACCAATCGGCAACTTCCCCTCCAGCCGCCAGCAGTACGCTTCCCACAGCATCCCCCAATCCCACATCAGCCACCAACAAGCAACCACACGATCGATGGCAATACGTCAACCTCATCCCCACACCTCCTGTCACATTGCCAGAACAGCCCCACACTCCACCTACATTTCCATCCCCCATCGGCGGCACACCACGCAACAGGCGTTCCAAGACACCTCCTCGCACCACTACCCCCACCCGCACCCGCCAGCCAGATCCACGCACAGGATCCCCAACCCCCCACGGTAGTGCCTCCGGCATCAACCGCCATACTACCACTACAGTCCATCCACTTCCAAAGCGACCTCCACCATCGCTCTCTCAAGCCCTACAGCAACACTCTACCACCGAGCCCCTTCAGCCTGTTCCCCCGGCAACTGGCTGGCCATGCTTTCAAGGCGCATCTTATACGCCAGCACCCTCAGTGGCACCACCGACAGCCGCTCCCACGCCCACTCACCCATGGCCAGCACAGTACCCCCTTCAAACACAGCAACCCACTCCATTCATCTCACCACAGACTGGCTCCTCCACCTTGAGTTCACCACCCCCAGTGGCCACACTCCGCCCACCCACGATCTGGGTGGACGCGCAAGGGCGCCCCTTGCCGCTATCACAACAGGACTACGATCCAGTCACCGACCCGTGGCATGCAGATAACCATCGATCACGCAGCTGCAGCTCCTGAGGCGCCTGCCATGATTCCACCGAGGATGATTTGTCCAACATTTTTCCTACCCTCACTCCTTTTTTGGCCATGTAGGTCCTGTTTTAACCACAACTTTCCAACAACAAGCCCACCATCATCTTCGGACGGTCGCCCAGCTTGCTGCGCAGACAACCACTTTCAGTTTCACCTTGCACAACGAAAAATAGCGCGTTTCAGTGGACAGCCTGACATTCAATATGTTGTTCGGATCCACACAGGTGCCTTCTTGGGGTTACTCCGGTTTTCCTATGTTCTCAGCGATCTTTTGAGTTTTTCTTCGGAACCGTTTGCCGACAGCATGACTGTTTTAACGCCACCATTGCTCCCCTAATTGACTGTCCTGCACCTGCTTTCCCTTTCTCAGCTTGCTCAAATCAACAACCGGTGCCCCACGCCCACGATCCAGTGATACTTCGCCCAGCCACCATGGACGCGCAGTGGCAGCAATATTACTGGAATCATTATTTGATGCAGCAACATCATCAGCAGCTCACCAACCCAGATACCACAACTTCTCCTCCCACCGCCGCACACCACACCTACAGCCCCACAGGCACCTACGGCCCACTCACTCACGCACTTCGCACACACCACGTCCACCACTCCAACCCTTATGTGACTCCACCGTACACACCGCCAGCGCAGCACACACCCCCACCCCAGGCACCCACCTCCCAGCCGGAGTTTCCACCTCCGCCGCCGCCACCCCTGCCCACGGCCGAACCTGTCACTCCACCACCATCGACCTTCCAACACAGCCCACCGCCACCACCCACCACACGTGGCACCACAGCGCCTGCCCCACCACCCCCACACATCCCATCTCCCACACCACCTGTTCCGGACTCCTGGAACCCAACCGAACAACATTGGGACTCCAACACACTGCACGGCCACCAACTACATCGTACGATTCAACCCACCCAGTGGTCTCGCAAAGCAGGAGTGGCCGGCCTCCCCACCTTCGAGGTCTTCCCGTGGCAATTGGCTTACCACGGTACCTCCGAGTTCACTGCCCGTACCCTGAGCAACGGCAAATTCACAGGTTTCATTGCAACCAGAAGCATAGCGGAGTCGGTCTTCGTGACCCTTTTTCTCCAACAACTCCGCGAGCACCGCCTTGACCTTGACGGCATAGCGGAGGCTCTCCACACACAACAGAGCACAGACGTTCCAAACAAAACTACCCATGCCCGAGCGTTCCACGCTCCCCTCATCAAACTGCTTATCGACCAACTGCAAACCCACTCCCCAGCACCTGCGGAAGGCTCCGCCCTACGCGCCCTCAAAAACACCAACGACGAACTGGCTCGGGCACGCCAGAAACTCCACGACCTCGGCAACCCGCTCACACCAGTCAAGCACACCGGCCGATCTTCTGCACCAGCCGCCCCTTCCCACGCACCCACACCACCACCACCGAAACCACCAGCCATCACCGACGTCTTGCAACCACCGCACCCCACCCTGCAAGACGACATCCCCGAAGGCTGGAACTACCCAGATATCCAACAATGGGTCACTACTTTTGACCCCGTCATCCAAGAAGCTGCGAAAGAAGTCATCCGACTGCTGCAAACAAGCAAAGTCACCACGCAGCAGCTAAAAGAAGCAGCCACCAAGTATGGCCTACCCCTTAACCGAGTCAACCGACTCCCCATTCGCAGCCTCCAACAGCTGGTGGGAGTCGGAGCAGCCATTGGTTGCTGACTCGCCATCGTGGCCCAGCAGCAACCCAGCCACACCAACCTCACCCAACTTTTCCACCTACACCGCGCACTTTCCATGCTCATCCACCGCACCCAATACATCGACCGCGCCGAGGCCATCTTTGCAACCGGCCTCATCCACATCACACTTCTTTTCGCATACCCGTCCAACACCCGTCGCTCACAACAATGGCGCAACCGCCTCCGCCAGCTCCACATTTTACCCCACACCTACCACTACCACAACTTCCTCTCTTCCAATTCCGTCTACATCAAGCTCCACTTCAATCCCGACCAACCCCAACGCTGCTACCATCAACATGGCCACTTCTATGTTGGCTCCACAGCTATCGGCATCCCCCACCGCGAGCACAATCGCCGCGCCAAACTCAAACAACTCCAGAACAACATTCCCATCTCTGCAGAACTCTCCCTACGTTATTGGCATTCACACAACAACATCCACCACTACACCACTATTCAACTCACCTCCCATGACACATACGACCAAGCCTGGATCCAAGAGCACCACTACATCGCCAATTGGATGCCTTCACTCAACTGGCCTTTCATTTCCCACCACCTCAAACTCAAAGCTCAGGGATGGCAGTTTGCGAAACACAGAGCCCACTTCTACTCCAGACTAGCCACCCACAAACGACTTTTCCGACGCCTTCGACAACGCCAGTACACCCTCAGAGAACCACACCTCTACACTTCCACTAAGCACCACGCCCTCCAACTTCTTCGCAACCTTACCAAACACACCGCAGCCTCTTTTG